ACCATTGAGAATGATGTTTGCTGTGTGTTTTGTCATATATTGCTTTTATTATGTTGAGTTAGTTTCCCTCTATGCCCACTTTCTGGAGAGTTTTTATCATAAATGGGTGTTCAGTTCAGTTCAGTCACTCAGTCGTGTCTTACTCTTTGCGACCCCATGAACTGCAGCATGCCAGGCCTCTGTCCATCACCAACTCCCAGAGTCTACCCAAACCCATGTCCATTGAGCTGGTGATGACATTCAACCATCTCATCCTCTGTCGTCCCCTTCTCCTCCTGCCCTTAATCTTTCCCAGCATCAGGGTCTTTTCAAATGAGTCAGCTCTTCGCATCAGGTGGCCAAAGTATTGGAGTTTCAGCTTCAGCATCAGTCCTTCCAATGAACACCCAGGACTGATCTCCTTTCAGTCCAAGGGACTCTCAAGAGTCTTCTCCAACACCATAGATCAAAAGCAACAATTCTTCAGCACTCAGCTTTCTTTATAGTCCAACTCTCACATCCATACATGACTACAGGAAAAACCATAGTCTTGACTAGACGGAACTTTGTTGACAAAGTAATGTCTCTGCCTTTTAATATGCTGTCTATGTTGGTCATAACTTTTCTTCCAAGCAGTAAGTGTTTTTTAATTTCATGGCTGAAATAACCATCTGCAATGATTTTGGCACCCAAAAAAATAAAGTCAGTCACTGTTTCCACTGATTCCCCATCTATTTGCCCTGAAGTGATGGGACCGGATGCCATGATCTTAGTTTTCCAAATGTTGAGCTTTAAGCCAACTTTTTCACTCTCTTCTTTCACTTTCATCAAGAGGCTCTTTAGTTCTTCTTCTCTTTCTGTCATAAGGGTGGTGTCATCTGCATATCTGAGGTTATTGATATTTAACTTATATGCAGAGTACATAATGAGAAATGCTGGGCTGGAGGAAGCACAAGCTGCAATCAAGATTGCTGGGAGAAATGGGTGTTGAATTTTGTCAAAAGATTTTTCTGCATCTATTGAAATGATGCTTCCCTAATAGCTCAGTTGGTAAAGAATCCACCTGCAATGGAGGAGACCACGGTTTGATTCCTGGGTTGGGAAGATATTACCCACTCCAGTATCCTTGGGCTTCCCTTGTGGCTCAGCTGATAAAGAATCCATCTGTAATGCAAGAGACCCAGGTTCCATCCCTGGGTTGGGAAGGTCCCCTGGAGAAGGGAAAGGCTACCCACCCAAGTATTCTGGTCTGGAGAATTCCATGGACTGTATAGTCCATGGAGTCACAGAGAGTCAGACACAACTGAGAGACTTTCACTTATATTTATTGAGATGATTATATAGTTTTTATTCTTCAGTTTATTAATATGGTGCATCACATTGACTAATTCATGTATATTGAAGAATTCTTATATCCCTGTGATAAATATCTTGATCATTGTGTATTATTCTTTTAATATGTTGTTATATTTTGTTTGCTAGTATTTTGTTGAGGATTTTTGCATCTATGTTCATCAGTGATATTGGCCTATAATTTTCTTTTTTGTCATATCTTTGTGTTGTTTTGGTATCAGGGTGATGATGGCCTCATAGAATGAGCTTCAGTGTTCCTCCCTCTGCAATTTTTTTTGCAGCAGTTTTTGAAAATTAATTCAGATTGAAAGCTGTTGTTGCACCTCTGCCTCCTCTGTTAGTTCAGTTCATTACTGAAACAAAGGGAAAGATGTATGAATTCAAACATTCTGGCCTCCACTCTTTTAAATCTTGATCTGTTCCCTGAAAATATCAGGTTAAGAAGAAACTGGCTGACTTCCCCTTTGCTAGTTCCTTGCATTTTAATAATATTCACCCCAACATATCCTGCCTCCTTACCTGTTTCTTAGCAATAAGGACAAGGTTGATCCTGATAGGACTATGGCATTTATTTCTACTACCTCAAATCAATCAATATTTTCTAAGAAAATAACACATTATAACTCACTTCTAGCACAGCTCTAAAATATTCTCTCATCCATTAAAGAGCTTTCTAATCAACTGAGGGTAATTGAACAGTAATTGAACACTTCTTACTATAAGGCTACCAGACTGTCTTGAAGAGACTGTGTTAAGTGCTACTTCAGGAGATAGAGCAGAAAATAAGGTTTTTTCTATTGCTTTCTCTTTATCTGTAACATTTTCCTTCCTCTCACAGCTAGCTTGGTCATAGCACTAAGCAAGGAGCAGGTGAGACACCTGTTAATAAAGAGGTTAAGAAACCAAGACAAATCCATGATAGCTACAACACTTATGAACCCTTTCCTTAGTTAGATACCTTAACTATTACAAATAGCACAAAGCTCCCTCTAAGCTCCAAGTGCTCAAGCCACCTTTTCCTAGATTAGCTGTCATCTTCCTTTGATGTCCTTGGGTTGCAAAGATGGAACATATTTGGTCCTCTGCAGGCTCCCTGTATTGGAGTGTACTATCTAGCTGAAGTAATAGAGCCATTTGGATTCCACTGGGGTGCAGCAGCTTGATGCAGCCAGTGTGGAACTATGGAAAGAGCACAAGTCCCTGAGTCAAGGTTTATGTTTCTGTGTCAGACAGGATGGGTTACCTCCCGCCCTGGTTCCTCTCTTGTCCTGGTTCCTTATTTATGAAATAGGGTTTTGGTGAGGCTTGGAAAGAAACTGGCCAAATTTCTTTGAAAATCATATTGTAAAGGCATTAACACATTAATTGAAACAGATACAAAGCCATATCTAGACCCTTACCATATGTGTGAAAATAGCATGAGATAACGATTCTAGAAGGAAGTGGATGACAGAAGGAGAGAAATATTTTAAAACCTCAGAGGCCACTCCTAAATAACTTCCCTGACACCCCTATTAAACACCCTCCATTTCTCTTCAAATCAAAGTTAATTTATAAAGCAATTTTTGACATAAATATATACATTTAATATCCAATTTTACTTTTGTTCTTCATATTTTTTCATAGATATTCCAAAGCCCCCTGCTTCAACCTGTACCCAGGCTCTAGCTTTGTAACTTACTTTGTGGCTTTGGCCAAGCCAGTTTTCCGGAGTCAGTTTTTTTTCCTTATAAAAAGGGATAAATCTACTCATCACCTTCACAGTGATTGAGAGGATGAAATGAGGGAATATACATGCAGCTCTTAGCACAGTATCAGATATATTCCAGGAACTTGCATGACCTTGTTCCCTTCCCCCTCCTCTTATAGAACAGGGTTGCAGCCTTGGCTTTGGACTCTAAGGTACAGTAGCTCAGACACACAGTCTTTGTGAGCAACCAACTTAATAGTCTTCAGATGCTTTCTAGTGACACTACAAGACAGGGATCCTCAAGGCCACCAGGAAATTTTTAGGCTGGATACCAGGGAGAATTTCCTGGTTGTAAAGTTATTATGTCTAGGATCCACAGAAGATCAGGGCTTCAATTCTTTCTCTAGAGAACTCTTAAACTCAGTATGGATATCCAGAATGTCCTGAGACTCATGTCCCACTATTCTCCAGCTCCCCAAAATAGCAAGCCTTGTATTTAGCACCATCTGGGAATGATCTCATTGAGTACTCACAACAAGCCTTTGAGGTATGGCTTCATAGGTCCATTTTTCAGGTGAAGAAATTGAGGCCCAGAAAAAGAAAGGGCAAGATCAATTGGAAAGAACTCCAACTTACTTTTAGTTGGAAGTGAGTCAAAGTCCTTTATTTGTCCAAAACCCAACTCTTTGGGCCTGTCCATGCTCTCTGAACAACTATCTCTTCTTGCATGCTCTCATCTCCCCCAAATCATTCACCTCTTTGCTTCTAGCGTCACTTCCCTAAGACATCCCTCCAACTTTACCACTCCTGTGCTTTGAAACATAAAATAACTTGGAATTATTTAGCACACTTAATAAATGAGTGACATATATGTGCCTATAATATTAAATCCAAACTCACATTTGGATTTAAAGGCATTTCACAACCTGGTTCCAACCTGGCTTTTCCAGGTACATCTCCCCATTTCTCTTTCCCTCCTCTGCACTCCATATATTAACCTTGCACTTCAGACACCTTGGCCTACTTGCCCTTTCCTTTCTGTATGTGTTGTGCCCTGTCCTGGAAAGTCAGTTTTCCTCAATGGACTGGAAAATTCTGTTACCTTTTGAGATCTATTTACATCTTCTCTGCTCAGATTACACTTTATCCGTTTCTGTATTATGACAGCACAGTGCACTTTAATTAATGGGTTACTTTTCATACTCTCCTGCTCCTCAAAGGCAAGGACTTGCTTTTATTTATCATTGCCTCACCCCGGTGCCACCCCCAGTATCCACCCAGTACTGTCCCAAGTACCTCCTTTGTTGACTGGCAAAGTCTGAACTCAGTAACCAGAATGGATGGAGGGCAGGAAGGAAGGAGGTCACCCCCTCCCCATCCTTCAACTTTAGCAGCTGCTTCCTTCTTCCTTCGCCTCTTCTTCACCTCCACTCCATCTCCATCTGAATGCCAAAGCCACTAGTTCCCAGACGGCTGCCAGAACACTCAATCTCTCAGAAGCAATGTCACCTGCAGAGTTTCTCTCCAGCCCCAGTGCCCACTAATGAGCGACTTCTGGCAAGCTTTTGTTGGTGTGAGGGGCCCCTGCGGGATCTGAGTATGTCTCTCATCTGTTCAGTTGCCTTCTGTGGTATTTCTCCCTCATTTTTTTCTGCGCACCACCCAAACGAATATCACTATTGTTTTGTACTCCTGGCAAACTTTGACACAATTATCGGTGACAAATTGACTTAAAGTGCGGCTGCAGGAAGAGAAACAGGAATGCCTCGCTTGGCCTTCTGGGAGTTGTAGTCCTGCAGGCCCCCGGGCTGCCTGGCTGGTCCCGGAGCTGTGGACTACAGCTCCCAGGCCTTCTCCACGTCCCTACCGCACAGGCTCAGAGCCTCCTGCCGAGAGGAGGTGGTTACATTGTGTCTATTGTATCCCTGGGTTTGTGTGTTTGTGTATTTCTCAGGACGTGAAGTTGAGAGTGAAAAACATGGCAGATGAGCAGGAAATCATGTGCAAATTGGAAAGCATTAAAGAGATCAGGTAAGTGCAACATTGCAGTGCCCCCCAAGTCCCCCTCCATAGCTCCACAAATCCCTCACTGCCGGAGAGGGCTATTACCTACGGAAAGTATCTATTGTTGGGCTACTTGCGGAGAGGGACGGGAAAGGATCCCATTCACTATGGAATTCAAGGATGGGAAAGAGGCAGGGGAGAGTCAGAACTGAAACTAGCAGGGAGAGGCAGAGAAACAGACTGACCGAGAAGGATCTCTTGTCAGATGTGTTTGAGAAAGCCAGATTGAGACACACAGTGTGTGTGTGGGGTGGAGGGGGGGGCGGCTGGCGGGATGTGTGTGTGTGGAGGGGGTGGCGGTGGTGTTGGTCCCAAGACAGCTTTGTTCTTCTTGGGTCAGAGTTAGGGGAATGGCATTCTTGGACCCATTATGCTTTAAAGTGTTGATTGGCTCCAAGGTGTATTTGGCTCCTTGCTCTTTATGAATTTAGATTCTTTTCAGTCTTCTGTTCAACTTCAGGACCTCGAGCTCGGGTGAGCCTTTTAAGAGCAGAGTCTAACGCATCAGGGGCTGGGGGCAGCAGCTGGGGACTGCCAGCTGGGGATAAGGAGGAATCTTATGCAAGGCCCGGACTGAGAGGACAGAGAGCACTCGCTCCTGTGTATTTTTTGCTTTCATTCACCGCTTTCTTCCTCTTTTACCAAGTGCTCAGGGAGGGGAGAGGGGTGGGAGTGGTGGAGACTGGGGAGGCAGTTACCACCTACTGGCAGTTGCTCTCAGGACCCAGAGGTGATGGGCTGACGGGCAGGTTGGCAAAGTGGGTGTTGCCTACATCCCCTCCCCCTTCTCTCCAGGAGTGGCATTGCCTACAGGATGATACTGTCCTTGCTCAGAACATAATAACTTTGGTTGAGTGAACTGCCTGGGCCAACACTAGGCCTTCCTTCCTCTGCTCTTCTCTGCCAAGACCCCTTGTCCCCGACCTACCCATCTCTGCCTCGGCTTCCACCCTTCTTCTGAGGGTGCCCTGAATCGGGCAGTCTCTCTTTAGTGTTTTTTAGAAACCTGAAAAAAAATTGGGGAGAATATCAAGTGTGTCCCTTTAAGAAACAAGGCTTTGATCAAGAGATTTAACCCTTGGAGTGATGCCTTAGGTGAGATTCACACGTGTTGGTGGTGGTGGGGAAGTGCTTTGGCTTTTTCTGTCCTTTGCAGGGATTATATCTCTACCTCTTCTGGAGAGTAAAAGGAAGGGAACTATTATTTACTAAGCTGATTGACCTACTATTGCTCATTCTACAAGAATCCTGATAACTTCCTACACTTCCTTTACAACTGGGAAAATGGAAGCTCAGAAAATTTAAGTAACTTTTCCAGATCCAAACCATTTGAAAATACCAGATTTTGACAGAAATCCAGTTTATTTGTGTGCAGAGGCTCTGGGCTTCCCACTCTATCCCATGGAAGGTCTGGTGAAAGGTAGAGAGGTGGCATGTGTTGCATTTTCTTTTCTGCAAAAGGATCAGGATATAGGGAGTAAGACAACTTGGTGCAGGAAAAGGTCAACTGTCATAATAACAATGCAGTTAATAAGAAACTTTTGCCTGCAAGTGAAGAGCCTAGACTTATTTTTAACAGACTTTAAAGGAATCCTACCCAACATCAAGAGAAGGAACAGTTGGAAGCAAGGAGAAGTGACCCATCTTAGTAGAGACCAAATGGAGGGGCATGACTTCCACCCTCACCAGTGGTAAACCTGGCATTCCTACCACTAGTAGCTGGGATAGGATCCTAGGAGGCCCATAGAGAGGCCAGAACTCTCATCCCCAACAAGCAATAGCAAAGAGCCTCTCCTCAACTTGGTCAATCAGAGACCCAGTGGATAACTTGGACTTATGCTGCCCCTCTTCCCTGCAAAAGTAGCACGTCAGAGAAGGCCTGCAAAAACCAAAGTATTAAAAGAGATCCAGAGTGTCCAAATTTAATTGAAAAAAAATCACTTGACATACCAAGATTATCAATTTCAGTGGCAAGAGAAAGTAAACAGATGCTAGGATTGAGATGGCACAGAGATCAGAATTATCCAATAAGGATTTTAAAGTAGCCATCATAAAATTGCTTCAGGGAGCAAATGCATCACACTTGCAATAAATGATAAAATAGACAATCTCAGCATTTAAATAGAAAGTCTCAACAAGGAAATGTAAAGTGCAAAGAAAACCAATGGAAGTTTGAAAACTGGGGAAAAAAAAGACTTAAAAACTCAATGAAGAGGCTCAACAGCAAGACAGAGAAGACAGAGGAAAGAATCAGACAACTTAAACATAAAACAATAGAAATAACCCAATCTGAACAGCAGAGGGAAATTAAATGAAAAAAAAAAAGGAAGAAAGAAAGAAAAGAAGGAATTGAACAGAGCCAGAACCTCCAGACCTGTGGCATTATAACAAAGGATCTAACATTCATGTCAACAGGATCTCAGAGAAGAGAAATAAAGCAGGGCCAGAAAAGTTCCTGAAGAAGGAGTGGCTTAAAACTTCCCAAACTGAGCAAAGGACATAAACCTCCAGATCCAAGAAACTAAGCAAATATCAATTAAGAAAGACCCGAAGAAATTCATACCAAGACACATTCAACAAGTCAACTTTCTAAAAACAAAAGCAGAGAAAAGATCTAGGAAGCAGTCAAAGAAATAACATTTTACCTATACCTTGTCTACTAAAAAAAATGTACAACATGAGAGTTATGAGTTAAGTTTTATTTGGGGAAATATGACCTCACCCCAGGAGTCAGCACCTCAGATAGCTCTGAGAAACTGCTCCAAAGAGGTAGGGGGAAAAGACAGTATACATGTGATTTTAGTAAAGGGGGGAGTACATGCAATCAAGCACATATTTTTTGTAGAAAGTTTTTGCTGGTCTCATGAAGTTTTTGCTAGTCATGAGAAACAATTGTTCACCATGAAGGAGTTTGGGGCTTTTCTAAATATGAGGAGATACAAGAATTGAGCTCATAAAATCAGCTCCTGACAGTATCTATCTGAAGACCCATCCTGTCAGTTTCCTAGAATACAAAATGCCTCATTTCTGCTCTCTACCCTGAACTCCTTCAGAGGGTATCGGAGGTTAGCAGCTGCAGCAACACATGATTTAATCCTTGTAGAGGTAGATGGCAAGCACCCACAGTAAGGGCCAATTTGTGGTTGACAGGGCCCCTTCATGGTTATAAATTCAGCCATATTTGGGGAGGCATTTCATGACTATTTTGTCCCACATTGCTAGGAAGGCTCATTCTCAGGTCTCAAGAAGACTTTTCAGGCAGGCCACTCAATGTGCTATAACTGGACTAGGTCTTATCAACAGTAATCAAAGGTCTCTGGACTAACTTGTCTTAGTTACGCTGTTACAGTCCCGGAAAATTTGCCCTTTTTGTATCTTCCATATATAGAGCTACATTATTATAATGGTTGATCACATACAGAATATTTGATCAACTGCTTCAATTTACTTAGTCATCATTATTTTCATTGGAGGTTCAGTCACACATTTGGTCAAACAAGAAGTAATAATCTTGTAGAACAGGCAAAGTACAAAAAACATAACTAGCAATACTATTAAAGTCGTAAGTAAGAAGCCAGTAACTTCCATTAGGTGCAGCCCCCGATATCCTCAGATCTTCTGACTTCTTTTTTTTTTTTAGCTCTTCTGACTTATTCTTATCCTGTACCAATCTTTATCTTTCAGGGAAATTATATATTTTCACTGTCCATATGGCTCCCAATCCAATTTCCTAGTGTCACTAGGCTGCTTATTCTTAGCATAATTTAATTGTTCTCAAGATAAAGCAGGGTGGGGGAGATTGCTTAAATCTTAAATGACCACAATCTGGTGTTAGCCACATAAATCCATCCCATAATTGTGGGAAGTTTTATTCCTTGGCTGAATTTTTGCTTGTTGCTCTGATTGAGCTTGAGTAATGATCAGGGTCAGAGCAGGCATTATTAATTGGCCAGTAGAGAAGATCCCACTGAGCAATATCAAAAGTAGCCTGAACAGGACAGAAATAAAGTTTTTTAAGGGTCATCCAATTAGAGCCTTGGAGTGAAGAAATCCACCAAGGTAATCTGGAAGTACTAGACACAGGTAATTGGCCACAATGCAACAATTGGATTGACCTTTAAAATTAGCATAGGATTGTGTCCATGGTAGAAAAACATTTGATTTATATGCAGAGGTCTAAGAAATCAAGAAAACATTATAAATGATCATATGAATCAGGTCTAGCATCTTGGGTAAGCTGTCTACTTTTGATTTTTTTTCTCATCCTGGTGAGTGTCCTGTGTTTGAACATTGTTTTAAGGTGAATTTGAGTTTACCAGTCCTCTCTATAGAACAGTCTGGTGTAGGGGCCTTTAGAAGTGAGAATTAATCCAATAGTCAATTTCCCTTCAGTTTTCACTGTGCATTAGCTAGTTAAAAGTACCTGATAAAAAGTCCTTTCGTCCAGGTTGGAGATAGTCCTTTAAATTGTGTCTTTTCCAGTATGCAGGTAGTGGGGCAGCTGATCTTCATCCAAAGATTACTGCTCTCCATCCTGAAGTCCTTCAAGGGGTGTTGTAGGTCAGTCGCTGCAGCAGCACATGATTTAATCATTGTAAAGGTAGATGGCAGCCTTCAGGGGGAAAAAAAAGAAAAGAAAGTCAGCAGATTCCTCATCAGAAAGTGAAGAGGCCCTAGCAGGAAGTAGCACATTTTTCAAGTGCTGAAGGAAAGAGAATCATCAACCAAGAATCCTATGTTCAGTGATGATAACCTTTAGGAATAAGGGGATAATCAAGATATTCTTAGATGAAAGGAAATAGGAAATTTATCAGTAGGATGTCTATCTTATACGCATGACTAAAGTAAATCTTAAAACAGAAAAGAAATGGTAAAAGGAGGAAACTTGGAAGAAAGAACAGAGTAGACTAAAACCTGGGTAAATACAACAGAATTTCTTTTCCTCTTGAGTTGTATGAATCTTATTT